CTCAAGACATTGAGCTTTTAGTACATTCGCGTAATGGTTTGCTGTGTGGGATGGGGAAGAAGTTTTAAACATAGTCAAAAATGCGAACTTCCCGACCGACACCGGCAAAGTCGCCTCAGGGCTCATTAACCCCGTGACCTTGAGCCGGGGAGCTCCGGCGGGCTGCTGAGTCACGCGAACTAAAAGTAAGAGAATCGGGCGAAAAGTGACGCCGTGGCCAATAACTTAATAAGAATGAAAATTGCCCAGGCAGTTCGGCACATCCTGCTGAGGAGTAGATCTAAGCCTATAGATCTAGGTATCTAGCTCTGCTCTGACAATTATCCCCTTCTCTATAAAAATGTGCTACAAACATTTCTTTCAAACAAATGCAAGCGCTACAAACAAACGCAAGTAATTTATAACGTGTCATTGACGTCACTGCGACATTGGGTCTAATAATTTGGAAGTACTTCTGTAAAGAGAGACCACCCCAACAAACATATAATGAATAAAGAAGAGACCTAAACCCTACCCCAAACCCTACCCCTATCCCCCCATCTGTTCTACTCTACTCTTGTCTCATAGTGGTCGCTAGATCTAGTCTAGACATCAAGTTAAGTAAGTCCTCCCAGTCCCAATAATTTACGTACCTAAAATGCACTTTTATCGAAGAATAGAGTAGACTTAGATCTAGATTTCTATATCTATATCTAGATCGAGATTTCTATATCTAGAATCTAGCTTCCGTTTTGTTTCAGAGGATCTGTTGACAATGTAGCCTAGTTGACTCTCACCTCATCCGGAAGGTTGTTGTTTTTTTGTAGTCCGACATTCCTTTCACAAGACAGAAATAGAGGCCCTCTATCTATGTATGGACATAAATCCGTTCCAAACAAGAGCAGCTGCTAGGGTCATAGGCAAAGTCTTCCGTCATAACGGAAATAATATCCTAGAGACGAAGATGGCGTGATGCCTTCCAGGAAAGATTGCCAAATGAAGCGTAGATTCCACTTTTTTGCCCAGTCTTAGCATCGATGATAGACAAGTCGTTGTTTGTCGTTTTCGCTACGCGGAAATCCCACTGCTATTTTTGGAAACGGGAAGTTCTGTATGAGTTTTCTCTTCCTCGAAAAATGGAGAGTTACTACTACTACTGCTAACACAGAATTCTGTGACTGCTAATAATATTATGAAGATCATTTCTATAGCGCCCACTCCCGTGTAAACACAGATCTAGGCGCTTTACATAAATGCATGCACGAATAATGCACGCGACACACACTCGCACACACACACACACACACACACACACACACACACACACACACACACACAC